TCTCTCTCTTTCTCTGTGTGTCTCTCTCTTTCCATTCGTCGTGGGGCCGGCCCGGGATTAGTCTCAAAGTAATATAAGTAGGAGAATTGGAACTTACTACTGTAAGGTTTAGGCAGCTAATGCGGCTACATACGTAGCTGCTGCAACGTATGCCACTCAATGTTCTATTCTATTCTATATCAGTGCTTATTTATACACTATAATTATTTTTCAGAATTATATATTCTTTTCGATGGCGTGTGCGCATCCATTGCATGTGATGCGACTAATGAATTAATTAAATCAATGTCTGATCACCATTGATTACTAAGTTTTCATATTTGTGTTGCTTGCAGCGCCATCTATAACTGCGAGCCACAAGAGCTCGTCGGATTATATTATTATGGGATATTGAGCTAAACCTGCCAGCTTAGTATCACGCGGCCAGTTTTTCACATAATCTCACAACGTTTCCAGTAAGCGGGTTATAATGCCATTAAAGCTCTCGAGAGCTGAACTATTCGCCCAGCATGCGAAATAACCTCGGTGGAAAAACGTTCCACCAGTAGTCCACCTCTCGTGTGTCAGTAGTAGCGTCGCGTGTGAAGCGTAAAACCATAGAAAGATGTAGAGACACCTAAGTGACCACTATAGAGCCTAACGTGTATATTATTTCTATGGTACAAACCATATTATATAACTAGACAGAGTGCACTCACGGAGAGTGCATACCTCCGCCAGCGACATACGCCATACGCCATACGACTGACGAACACACGAATAACCGACGATATACGCCAGCGTACTCGCTCGTAGCAGCCGCTCGTTGCTGCTGCTCGCTCACATGTACACGCTTGCTGGCTTGCTGCCCACTCGCTCGTAGCAGCCGCTCGTTGCTGCTGCTCGCTCACATGTACACGCTTGCTGGCTCGCTGCGCTGGCTGCTCGCTGGCTCGCTGGCTGACGCGCTAATATCGATCGCGCGAACACACGAACACACTAACACACGAACACACGCACACGAGAGCGAAAACATAACCTCCTCCAACTCCGTTGGGCGGAGGTAATAATAGCTTCTATATTTTCCTTAGCTTGTGCTACCGATAATACCCCTGCCCACCCTACCTGGCACGCATTGACCATTCCGTCTGGCGGTATTCATAGATGGCTTTATCCCACCAACATTGTGATAATGCGTTCTAAAAGCAACGCTCACTTACGAATCGTCGTAAAGTCGACAATGGCGCGTGAAATGCACACGACGTACAAACCCGAGTTAACCTGGTGGAACTAGCAATAACATCAAGAGCGTATTAAGTAATCATACTTGATATACGCTCTTGATAACATCAGGAATAGATAATAGGGAATTAATTCCCTAATTCCATAATTAATTCCCTATTATCTACTCCTGATAACATCCAAGTTAGAGGGAGCGGGCAGGGGGGGGGGTGTCATCATCTCACTCGGACAGAGTAGTCAGCTCAGATTTTGTCCGTTCACCTAGGTTGACCTTGCGGACGGTGAAGGTCGTACGGCGCTACGAGCGGCGTCGTGGGGCGGCCATGATGACATCGTGCTCAGCCTGGTCGACTACAGCGCCAACGTGAACATGGTGGACAAGGAGGGCCGCACTGCGCTGATAGCAGCTGCTTACATGGGCCACACTGAGATCGTGGAGACACTGCTGAACAGCGGTGCTGATATCAATCTAGAAGGTAAGCGAGTGTGTGTGTGTGTGTGTGTGTGTGTGTGTGTGTGTGTGTGTGTGTGTGTGTGTGTGTGTGTGTGTGTGTGTGTGCGTGTGTGGTGTGTGTGTGTGTGTGTGTGTGGGTTCGTGTGTGTGTTCGTGTGTGTGTGTATAGCCACTAGTGTTCGCGGCGATCGATTCAGCAGCAGCTCGCCTTAGGGTCCGTCGAGTCAGCAGCAGCTCGCCTTAGGGCGTCAAGTCAGCAGGCAGCCTAGCAGCGAGCCAGCTGTTATACACATACATGTTACAGTGCTGGCGGAGGTATGCACTCTCGGCGTGAGTGCCCTCTGTCTAGTTTCGTCTCTGTCTATTTCTCTGGCATCTCTCCCCTCTGTGTGTGTGTGTGTGTGTGTGTGTGTGTGTTGTGTGTGTGTGTGTGTGTGTGTGTGTGCGTGTGCGTGCGTGTGCGTGTGCGTGTGCGTGCGTCGTGTGTGTGTGCGTGGCTGTGGCTGTGTGTGTGCGTGTGCGTGTGCGTGTGTGTCTGTCTGTCTGTCTGTCTGTTCGTCTGTGGGCATTATGTGTGCGTGCGTGTGTGTGTCTGCGTGAGCACGCGTGCGTGTGCTCGGCTGGTAATAGCTAATATGATATATGTGTCATCGCTGCTAAGTAGGTTGTCTGTGTCTGTGTGTGTGTGTGGTGGAGAGTGTGCGCAGACCTGTGACAGAGCCAACGAGGGCTCTACTACTAGAGCTACTAAGCACTAATGTTATGCTACCCAGCTGATGCAGAGCAACGCGAGATGCTGTCAAAAAACATCGACTAAGACTGAATACATCGTTAACTTTATAGCATAATGGCACCGAATAACAAACACGTTAAATCTACACGAGGCAATGTCAGTGTGTGTGTGTGTGCGCGCCGCCGTGTGTGTGGTGTGGTGTGTGTGTGTGTGTTTGTGTGTGTGTGTGTGTGTGGCGTGCGTGCGTGCGTGCGTGCGTGCGTGTTTGTGTGTGCGTGCTGTGTGCGCGTGTGCGTGTGCGCGCGCGCGTGTGTGTGCGTGCGTGCGTGCGTGCGTGCGTGCGTGTGTGTGTGTGCGTGCGTGTGTGTGTGCGTGCGTGCGTGCGGTGGTGTGTGTGTGCGCGCGCTGCGTGTGTGTGCTGCGCGCGCGTGTGTGGTGCGCGCACCTCGTAGTGCTGCCCCCAGGCATGCTATTTCACACGTGCCCTGGAAGGGTACTAAAGCGAGAGTGCGCCGAGAGCGTGAACTGTTGATGGTGATGATTTGTGATGCGAATGTCAAATAGCCGGCGTGCGATTGGAATTGGCGACGAAGGAAGGTCCTCGATAATTTAATGTTGCTCTCTGGTTCGCGAGTTCTGTGTTTATGTTCCATGTCTGGTTGCAATATCTGCCTACGTAATTTTCAGCTGAATAAACACCTGCGTAAATTTCCACCCGAATGTCTCCTGTATGTATGTGTGTCCGTCTGTTTGTCTGCAGGGACTGCTGTTTTTCGCTCTCCTCTCTTTCTCTCTCTCGTCTCTCTCTCTCTCTCCTCTCTCTCTCTTCTTCCTCTTGCGCGCGCTCTCTCTCTCTCTCTCTCCTCTCTCTCTCTCCTCCTCGTCTGACTCTCTCACTCATCGTGCTCCTCTCTCTTCTGCTCTCGCTCTCTCTGCCTTCCTTGTCTGCCCATGCCCTCCCACCTGCCTGTTGATATAGGCTGTCTGACAAGCGTAAATCACATATCTATTTATCCATCTACTTATCGATCTTCCGTATATGCCTACCTTACCATTAATCTGTATTTATTTATCTGCACGGAAAAATACTTAGTACAGTTAATCAATGAACGGTATTATTAATATTGGTATTATAATAATGGTATTATTTATTGGTTTATCTATCTGCACGAAAATACGTAGTGCAGGTAATTTTCAATGAACGGTATTATTAATATCGGTATTATAATAATGATTATTATTTTCTTCTTGCTCCTGTAGATGGCGATGGTAGGACAGCATTGTCGGTGGCAGCACTGTGCGTGCCGGCTAGTGAAGGTCATGCGTCGGTCGTCAGTCTTCTGCTAGACCGCGACGCCGAGGTTGACCACAAAGACAAGGACGGTACGTCTGCACTACCGCCTACGACTCCTCTTCTACCTTCTCTAAGTTTTCTTCCTTTACTTGTTCTATCTTCCTCTCTCTTCTTTCTTTCTCCTCTTTTCCTTCTGAGTCCTCTACCTTCTCCACCTTTTCCATATCCTCTAAAATCTCCTCATTCTTATACCTCCTTTCTCTCCCAACGGTAATTCATCTACTCTCCCTCCACTCTTCTATCACTTCCTCTCTACCCTCTCTACCTTAACCTGCTCCTGTCTCTACCTTCTCTAACTCCTTCCCCAAGAAGACTTGCAAGGTAACCGAAGCTCGATCTCTCTCCCACCTCTATAATAAACGTTCATTGCCCTCTACCTTTACTAAACCCTCACGGCAGGTATATATGACGCCGCTGCTGGTAGCTGCCTGGCCGATTAAAAATGGTCTGATCCCGCATCCCGAAAGTAACCGTTCTCCCCCCTTTACAATAAACTTATCTTTCATTATTCACTTCATAATTACCTTTACCTCTCTATTAAACCTTCACGGCAGGTATGACTCCGCTACTAGAGGTCGTTACCTAGACGATTAAAAATGGTCTGATCCCACGTCCCAACAATAACCGTTCTCTCGCCTCTAATAAAGCTTCATTCCCTTTATCTTTATATTTATCTCTATAATAAACCCATCTTTCATTATTCACTTCTTCATTACCTTCTACCTTTACTAAACCCTCACGGCAGGTATGACACCGCTGCTGGTCGCTGCCTACGAGGGCCACCACTCCGTCTGCGAACTGCTGCTGGAGGGAGAAGCAGACGTCGACGCGTGCGACAACAACGGCCGTACGCCGCTCTTCGCCGCCGCCTCGATGGGCCACGCTCGCGTCGTCAGTCTGCTGCTGTTCTGGGGAGCTGCCGTAGATAGCATTGACAGCGAGGGCCGCACCGTGCTGTCGCTCGCCGCACTGCAGGGTAGGTAGCAGCAGCAGACGCCGTTGTTGTCATGGTGATGATGTGGGCGCGGTCAAGATGGTGGTAGCGGTGGTAGCGGCGTAGAACGGTGCGCCCGTCTGTAACGGGGTTTTTAGTGTTGGAATAAATAATGGTTAATATAAGAAATTGAAGACGAAAATAAATAAAATAAACAATTAAATGGATTAACATATAATTATAAATAGGCTGATTCTATAGGTGATCACATAGTACATGCAAAACGCGAGCAGTTGGAGAAGGCCAGTAACATATATTACGAAATACGCGGTCATAAGACTGCCTCATGTGCACTACTCTGGAATTTTTATTCTCGTCT